GGGGTGGGGCGGGGTTGGGTGGTGTGGGGTGGGGTGGGGTGGGATGGGGCGGGGTTGGGTCGTGTGGGGTGGGGTGGGGCAGAGTGGTGTGGGGCGAAGTGGGGTGGTGTGGGGTGGTGGGGGGTGGGGCAGGGTGGTGTGAGGTGAGGCGGGGTGGGGCAGGGTGGGGTGGGGTGGTGTGGGGTGGGGCAGGGTGGTGTGGGGCGAGGTGGGGTGGGGCGGAGTAGAGTGGGGTGGGGTGGGGTGAGGTTGTGTGGGGTGGTGTGGGGTGGGGCAGGGTGGTGTGGGGTGGGGTGGTGTTCTCCATTGCTTCAACTGCCGCGCCGGGAGGTCAGATCTCCGGCAAACCTCTGGCGTGCTGCAAGTCCCATAGTGCACGACCCATGGCAGCACTCGCGTTTCAACTGAGTGCGCACACGTTGCCGTGTGGATACATGTTGCCGTGTGGACACATGTTGCCGTACAGCTTCCAAGACGCCTGGCCAAGCGTGGGAAGAGTAGGCCAAGCTACCCCTTTAAGAAGAAGCCGTTTTAGAGAGCCCCCCCCCCCCCCCCCTCTAAGCCAGGGGTTGGCAACCAAAATACTGTAAAAAGAAGAGACATTTTTGGTAAAATTCAGTAAATAAAAAACCTCAATATTTAACGAGTCGGAACAATGCACTGCGTGGTGAATGCGAGACGGTGGTCCATACTAAATAACCGTGAACCCTTGAAGAGCCGCATGCGGCTCGGAAGCCGTAGGTTTGCCGACCCCTGCTCGAAGCACACAGAGAGAGCGAGAGAGACACAGACCCGTGCAGGCACTTTCACGGGCTGCGCCTTCGCTTATCGATGTGTGCCGTAGATTGGCAGTCCGGGCGTGTTTTTGTGAGTTCTGCACAAACCCAGATGCGACGCCGCTTACTGCCCGAGGTCGGAGAATCGGGGGGTAGGGGAGCGGGGGGGAGGGTTCCAGTCCTGCTTTTCACGTCATAAAAATCAACCCAATAACATTATGAGCTCGTAAAGAGCGACAATGCGATCAGCGGCACGACGTCCAGCAGCCGTTTGACGGCAGACGACAGAAACAAGGCACCGTTAACCAACGCGTGGCCTTCTTCGGCAGACTGGTGAGGCCAGTGCTGCTTGTTGCTGAACGCTTGGCGTTGTTTGGGGTTCATCTTCTTCTTGGTTCTTTCGGTAAAGTCATCACGTAGAAGGGAAATAATAAAATTATAAAAATAAAACATAATAAAATACAATTCTCACGACGTTTCGGCCACAACGCAAGCAGCCGTCATCAGGTGAAGAACAGGTCTGTCGGGAAGACCTCTCTGGGCCTGTGCTTAGCAAGACGGGACCCCACCGTAGAGGCTTCAACGGGACCAGCCCCCGTCATGGGAATGTGGAATTTCCGCCACTGGTCTCTGCAGGGCTGTAAACGGGAGATGTGCGCGCCGACGCTGCTGATTTGAGTGGCGGGCGACGACTTTGACTCCCAGACAAGAGTTTACGCGTCTCTTGAAATGAGCGAAGTTATTTATTGTTTTATTATAACAGCATGGTGAGGACGGACGGTGATGGGAGGAGGGAATTTTCAAAGTTGGAGCAGGGCGAGGGAAGAAGCAGAGAAGTGTTGTGGGTGGGTGCGTGATTGGGAGAGTGGGTAGGTGAGTGGGTGAGTGGGTGGGTGAGTGGGTGAGTAGGTAGGTGAGTGAGTGGGTGAGTGGGTGGGTGATTGGGTGATTGGGTGAGTGGGTGGGTGAGTGGGTGAGTAGGTGAGTGGGTGAGTGGGTGAGTGGGTGAATGAGTGGGTGTGTGAGTTGGTGGGTGAGTTGGTGGGTGAGTTGGTGGGTGAGTGAGTGGGTGGGTAAGTGGGTGGGTGGGTGAGTGGGTGAGTTGGTGGGTGCGTGAATGAGGGAGTGAATGAGTGGGTGGGTGAGTGGATGGGTGGGTGGGTAAGTGGGTTGGTGAGTGGGTGGGTGAGTGGGTGAGTGAGTGGGTAAGTGGGTGGGTGGGTGAGTGGGTGAGTTGGTGGGTGCGTGAATGAGAGTGATAAGGCAGAGACTGGTGGTGAGATGTTAACTACCTCGCCTGGTATACAGGAGGTCGTGAGTTCAATTCCCACCCTGACTCCTGCTGCTGTATATTTGGAGTTCACGTCTCTCTCTCTCTCCCCATGGCCACGTGGATTTTTCTCCGGGTCCTCCGGATTTTCCCTCCACATGTAGAAACACGCCTTTGGGGTATTTGGCTGCTATACATTTCCACGTGATAAGCCACTTCGTCGAGTTATCATTTGTGGCCAGGTTGCTTCTGAAAAAGAGCTACATCGCTCAGAGGGCCGTACCTGTTAGAATAAAAAAATAGTTTTTAGTTTAATAGTTTTAATATATATTTCAAAATGACGTCATTTCAATTTCCGAAGCCATATTACCTCTAATATCCACTACGGTGCCCCTTCTCGACTGACATTGTTCATTACAGCGCAGCTACCACAAGGAACTTGCTATCGAACACCGCTGCGATCGAGACATTGCACGCTTTGAGAAAATCACTGCGCAGCATATTCTTAGTTTTTTTCGGTAAAGTCACGTAGGTAAAACATTAAAATTAATAAAAGTAAAATAAAATAAAAATAAAAATAATTTATTTGATACAGCTGTCGTGGCTGTGACGGTTCCACCTGAAGACGGAAGCTTGTGTTGCCTCCGAAACGTCGTGATTTTTATTTTTATTTTACTTTTATTAATTGTAATGTTTTACCTACGTGACTTTACCGAAAACAAACCTAAGAATATGAATCCTTGCAGTCACGAAAGCTTCAAATCTAAAATCACTGCTAGCAGTTGCGGGTACCAAGACTGCCACTCGTGGGTCTACGTCTCAATATGGGGGAATAATAATGAGACGCATCTCAGCCCGCATCTCATACGCAAAGCTCGCATGAACTCTTGACGCTTAACCTGCCAATCATTCCTCGGAACTCTCCTCCTCCCCTCCCCTCCCCCTACTCCCTGCATCCTTACACCACCCACCGCCTCTCTAACATACCCCCCGTCGGCGATCCGCAGACATTTGGCCTCGCATTCCCATTTCAACTTTTTTTTTGCGTGTTCCTTTTGTGCAACAAAAAAAAAATAGAACCTTCGACTCGACGACCGCGTCTCACCTGTCAATAGTAGCGCACCGCCCTATTGTGTTACAGCTCCGCACAGCGTGCCCCTTTGTGCTGCCCTAAACGGCTACAGGTGGGTGGGGACGTGAAAGGGCTTCCTTCTCAAGCCAGTCGCACTAATGCATCGCGGGGTAAACCCTTATCTGTTAACAATATTGCCAGCTTTGAAATATATAAATACGCGTATGCACGAGTTCTGAAAGATTTCCTACTCTGCGTTTTTTTTTCTTCGTTGAGTGCAGTTTGAGGTTCGTGGTAATTCAATTTTGACCGGACCCCTCAAACAGTCGAAAGTCACAGACGTGGCAGCATTTGGTTTGTGTTTGGCAAGGGGGTTGGTAGTTGGGGTGAGTGGGTGGGTGGGTGACCCCAGTGAAATGTTCGCGAATGTAATCCTGCAATTGCACGGAAACGCACGGAGGGTAGCCGTGTAAGATTTCCTGGCTCAAAATTGGCAGCTTCCGGGAGGCATTGGTGCGCATCTCCCGTTTACAGGCCTGCCGAGCCAGCGGTAGGCATTCTACATTCATATGGCGGGGCCAAGTTTTATCCCCGTCGAACAACCCCCGTTGTGACTTCCACCACGAAGCGGTGCTTGTTTTATCGACCCCAACCCAAAGGGAGGGATGATTGACCGAGTAAATCGTCACCTCCAAACCGGAATTTGAACTCGCTCACTCGCTCGCTTACTCTACCGAATTGTGGCACACACACAGTGGTTTAGCGAGCTGACCTATGAACCCAGCAACCTCAGTTCGATTCCTGATCAAAGGCTACCATGAACCCCAGAGTATTAGACATACTCCCCCTCCAGCCCCCCCCCCCTCCCCCCTTGTATTTTAAAGCAAACGTTGCGGGCGATGGGGGAGGGGGCGTCTTATCATCCGGCAAGTGTGGAGTGTGCGTGGTCAGAATCGTATAACTTTACTGACACTGGGTACACGGCTGGGAAGGATCACACACTCCGGAGGGTATCAGTGGCGAGTGATATTTGAACGTGGGGCTCCCTCCCTAATCTACATCATCCCGCACCGACCGGCATGGTGAAGTATGGTCAAACAAGCCCACTCCCTCTTTGGTTCTTTCGGTAAAGTCACGTAGAAAGAGAAAATAATAAATTAAATAATACATTAAGCCCACTCCCCATAACTCAACAGGAGCGGTTAGGCATTCGTTAGGACGCGCATCGTCCGTGCACTCCCGTATCGCTCCGCGCGTTGATTCCCAGGGATCGTAGCGCACTTCTTGATTGACCCAGATCGAGCCACGTGAACGAATTCTTATTCTCATAGCCTGGAGCCACCCCCCCGCCCCCCCCCCCCCCCCGTGTCCCGTAGACTCTTTGTGACATGGATGTTTGTGTTGTGCTCGGGGTCATTCTAATAGTCATCTTTGTTGTTCGCTTTTGTGCCGGTGTGTGTGTGTCTCTTTGTCTGTGTGTCGGTGCATCTATATGTGCCAATGTTTGTATGCGCACGTGTGTGTGTGTGTGCCTGTGGCTTCTGTGTACCTATATTTGTGTGCCTGTGTGTGCCTGTGTCTTTGTGTGTGTGTGTGTGCCTTTCTTATGGTGTGTGTCAATGTTTATTATTATATATCTATGTGCTGTGTGTTTGTCTATGTGTGTGTGTGCCTGTGTGTGCCTGTGTCTTTGTCATGGTGTGTGCGTGTCAATGTGTGTTAATATATTTTTACGTGTCTCTGCGTGTGTGCGTCTGTGCGTGTGTGTGTGTGCGTCTGTGCGTGTGTGTGTGTGCGTCTGTGCGTGTGTGTGCGTGTGTGTGTGTGCATGCGTGTGTGCGCGCGTGTGCGTCTGTGCGGGCACCCACTGACGCACCATCAGAGGGCCGCGAGTGCGTCAACTGTGGCGCGACCTCGACGCCGCTGTGGCGCCGGGATGGCACGGGCCACTACCTGTGCAACGCGTGCGGCCTCTACCACAAGATGAACGGCCAGAACCGGCCCCTCATCAAGCCCAAGCGCCGCCTGGTAGCGCCACGCACCCACACGCCGCCACGCACCCACACGCCGCCACGCACCCACACGCCGCCACGCACCCACACGCTGCCACGCACCCACACGCTGCCACGCACCCACACACCGCCACGCACCCACACACCGCCACGCACCCACGCGCCGCCACGCACCCACGCGCCGCCACGCACCCACGCGCTGCCACGCACCCACACACCGCCACGCACCCACACACCGCCACGCACCCACACACCACCACGCACCCACGCGCTGCCACGCACCCACGCGCTGCCACGCACCCACGCGCCGCACCCACCAGCGACTCACCGATGCCGCCCGCATGAACACCGCGCTGCAGCCGCGCAACACTGCCGCGCCGCACCGTGCCATCCCGTGCCACGCCACTCTGCACCAGAGGCGTAGCTAGGGGGGGGGGGCAGGGGGGTACATGTGTCCCCGGGCGCCAAGGTAAAGGGGCGCCAAAACGAGGCTTACAACGTCACATTATAACTTATTGCGGCGGGCGCGGCAGCCTGAAACTACTGCACAAATCTATACCTCAACCTAAAAGTGTATATATCCCGCCACACACAGCCTACATGTCATGTAATTACATTTTGGTATGTGATTAAACGGGGGGGGGGGGGCGCCAATTTTATAGTTCGTCCCCGGGCGCAAAATATCCTAGCTACGCCACTGCTCTGCACCGCACCAGCGACTCAGCGATGCCACCTGCTTCAACCGCACCACAATGCACCCACACTATACAACACCAGACTGTGCCACCCGATGCCACACTGCCACGCCATGCTGCACAACGCCAGCGACTCACAACACCTATGCTACCGGCCCACACCACAACCGTGCTTAAATGCTCCCACGCCACATCATCACACACCGCATCATCCCAGCCACACCGCACTGCCACACCGTACTGCACCTCCAATTAGCACGGTTGGCTCCGTACGGTGCGAAAGAAGTTTAGAAAACACACATACGTACACCACACCAGTGAGTCGCTGTGCGTTACCACGAAATGAAATGGGAAAGCGTGGGTAGCAAATTCCCCGAAATGTTCGTAATTGTGCAATGATGCACACACACGCACAGAATGAGTGGCGATAAAGAGTGATTGGCCAGGGATAGGGGTGTGAGGTGGAGGCTGCCGAGGGTGCGACCCTGCAAGTGCTCGGCTCACGCCCTTGCTAGCGGAAGGGGCTTCCGCTCGAAGTGAGCTCCAGCGAGCACCTCTGGAGGGTATTTTGACGTCGTTAGCATCGTTATGGACGAACACAGTAACAAAATGAACAAGCATACAGTCCCCCTCTTCCTTCACACATCCCTGCCTGCGTGTAAACAGAAATACAAGTGATTCATCTCTATTGGGTTTATCTCAGCGGGCGTTATTGTGCCCCCCCTCCATTATGGGCAAACGGACGAAGCTAAAACCTAAAATCTTTCACCATTAGTCGGAGAGCATTCTTCAGCACTGAGCGGGACATGGTGTGATGAGATGTTAACTCCCTCGCCTGGTACGCAGGAGGTCGTGGGTTCTATCGCTTACCCTGAAGCCTGCTGTATATTTGGAGTTTGCGTGTCTCTCTCCGTGGTCACGTAGATTTTTCTCCGGATCCTCCAGTTGTCCCCTCAACATTTAGAAACATGCGTTTAGAGTTTTTGGCTACTGCTATAATCTTCAACAATCCATTTTGAGCTATCGTTTGTGGCCAGGTCGCTTCTACAAAAGAGCTAAATAGCTCGGCGGGCCTTGCCCAGTAAAATAAAAACAAATATTTGATTAATGAATTGTCTACCTGCCGCTTGCTCCCTCACCTCGGCACGAAGTCCGCGGCGCGGCGGGCAGGGACCTCGTGCGCCAACTGCCAGACGACCATCACGACGCTGTGGAGGCGCAACGCGAGCGGGGACCCCGTGTGCAACGCCTGCGGCCTCTACTACAAACTCCACAATGTGCGTTGCAGGCCCAGACGTGGCATGCACCCCTCACATGCACCATGAACAGCCTACACAGGGCACAGCCTGCACAGAACATGACATAACACAAGGGACGGCCTACACAGGGCACGATCTTATACATGATACAGCCTACACAGGGCACGGTCTTATACATGATACATACATGATACAGCCTACTACAAGGCATGGCCTACATAAGGTATGGCCTTATCAAAGGCACGGCCTAATACAGGGCACAGCCTACACAGGGCACGATCTTATACATGATACAGCCTACTACAAGGCATGGCCTACATAAGGTGGTATGGCCTTATCAAAGGCACGGCCTAATACAGGGCACAGCCTACACAGGGCACAACATAACACAAGGCACTGCTTACACAGGGCACTGTCTTATACATGATACAGCCTACTACAAGGCACAGGCTAAACAGGGAACAGCCTAATAAAGGGTACAGCCTAATACAAGGCATAGCCTACATAGGGTATGGCCTAATGTAAGGTATGGCCTACACAGGGCATGGCCTTATACAAGATACAGCCTACTACAAGACACAGGCTAAACAGGGCACAGCCTACTACAAGGCACAGGCTAAACAGGGCACAGCCTAATACAGGGTACAGCCTAATACAAGGCATGGCCTACACAGGGCACGGCCTATACAGGGGAAAAGCCTAATAAACGACATGGCCTAAAACAGGGCATGGCCTAATCTAAACAAGGGTGTCACAGTGGCGAGATGTTAACTACCTCACCCGGTATTACAGGACGTTGTGGGTTCGATCCCGACCGCGACGCCTGTATATTTGGAGTTTGTATGTCTCTCTCCCCGTGATCGTTGTGGATTTATCTCTGGGTCCTCTGGTTTTTCCCTACACATTTAGAAACGTGCATAGAGGGTATTTGGCCCCTATAAATTTCCACATGATAAGCCACTTCGTTGAGTTTTCACTTGTGGCCAGGTCGCTTCTGGAAAAAAAGCTGTGAAGCTCAGTGAGCCTTGCCTGATAAAATAAAATAAAAGTTGAGTTCCGTTTATATTGGGTGTGTCTGGGCCCCCACAACACCCACAGTGCTTGCACCCCTGCCCCCACGTGATCGCGAAGGTGCTGCATCGACCTCAGTTATAACTATTTTACCAGGTAAGGCCTACTGAGCGAAATAGCTATTTTTCAGAAGCTACCTGGCTACAAATGATAGATCAACAAAGTGCCTTTTCGTGGAGAAATGTTTTGCAGCCAAATACTTTAAACGCACGTTGATTATATATGTGGAGGGAAAAACTGGAGGACCTAAAGAAATCCACGCAACCACGGGGAGAAGATGCAAACTCAAAATAGACAGCAGGCGTCAGGGTCGAGATCGAACCCACAACCTCCTGTATACTATAAAGCCAGGTGCTCACGACCTCTATGATGTCTTTCTCTTCTTCTCCCCCACTACCCTGCCACCACCACGACCACCACCACCACCACAGATAAACCGCCCGCTAACCATGAAGAAGGAGGGCATCCAGACCCGCAACCGCAAGATGACGGGCAAGTCCAAGAAAAACCGCAAGGTGGTGTGCGATGGGCTGGAGAACGACTACGCCAAGAGCTTCCACGACAAGCAGGGCCACTACGGCGCGCCGGCACTTGTCGGACCGCTCGGCACTCTGGGGCACCACCCGCTCAGCCCTTATCCTGCCCACGTGATCCCGGCGCACTCCTCCATGCACCCGCCCGCGAGCCTGTCTTTCGGCTCGGCCCACCATTCCAGCATGGTGCCCGCCATGTGCTAAGGCACCGGGCGAGGGCAACTGCTTCGCTTTCGTTGGGGGTTCGTTCGGGTAATAGCCGTTTTGTTTTTCTTCTTTTTTTTGCTGTCGTTGTCATCGTGTTTTTTTTAGGGTTCGCTAATGCGCCCTTTTTACATTTTATTTTATTCTTTTCACCCCCGCCCACCTTTTCGGAGTGGTAGGGTAAAATTGTAAGCTCAAGTTTCTAAAGATTTAATTGATTACATGTTTCAGAAGGCTGGTAGCGAATGACCATGGGAATGCAGCAGGGGGAGGTATGGAGGGGAGGGGGGTGATGAAATAATGGGATGAGAATGTACATCCCCACTTTGTGGCATCGTTTTTGTAAAGATTGACAATCTTAGTCTCAAAGTAACCGGACCACAGGTCACCTGGCTTGTCAAGTTGTCTCCAACACAGCTTGAGGATTGACCACAATCATTTGCAAGGTGTTCTCGGGCTATCGGTCAAAAACTTAAGGTGTCGACCATACCATATACACACAGCTGCCATCTGCCAGATTGAACCCTAGGATTTGGAGTCTCGTGAAATCTCAATGGACCAGAGTCTCGTGAAGTCTAAACGGAGAGGAGACTCAATACGTTGAAACGGACTGAAGATTCCTGAAATCTTAATGTGCCAGCGTCTCATGAAGTCGACATGGAGTTAGAGGCTCGTGAAGTCTAAATGGACTGGAGCTAACAGACTGTGGACACAGACTTCTCGTGAGATAAAGACCTGGAAGGAGTCCACTCTAAGCTCGCCTGTGCTGGCGTCTTAAAGACAAGAGTGAGTTTGTTCAATCAACGACGGAGAGTTTGGAGCGGACGCGGAAGGCATTAAATGTGGCGACACAACCGGGTCGTGCCGCTCTTGTGTCCAATGGCTGCCCACGCTGCTGTGATTTGCGCATTCAAGTCACTGTAAGTTTGCATTCAGCATTTTCGGGGGGGGGGGGGGGTTTCACGTATGTTTGCTCCGTTAATTTGTGTCACGACCTGCCTGTGGGTCTCCATGTCATCACCAGCGCTCTCCCACTCACAACCTTGCCAGTTGTTCACTCTGGGTTTTGGTTTAAATCGCCATGTCCACCATTATATGTGGAGACGGTTTCAGAGTTATTGTCTGCAGAAAATTCTGGCTGTTTATTGGTTTTTCTCCAGCGCATTGCTTAGCTTCTTTATTATTGTTCCAATAACACTTGCTCAAAAAATTCAACTCGTCACAAGACTATTCATTAGAAGGTCCGCACGAACAAGGGGTTACATCCTGGCGTGGCTTTTGTCACTTAAAAATAATCAAATGGAATATTTTTCTTTTCATATCTACCTCCCAATGGTGGGTTATTCGTTTTAGTCTTTTTCACACGTTTACAAGGGACAAGCACGGCCACTGAAATGCGACCCGCGTTCATCGTGAAACGGTTTGACGTGAAATCTGCTCGAGACGGAGCTCGCTGTGAGTGTGGCCACGCTGCGATGTGGGTGCCCGTGACACACCGCGCGACTGGCAACCAAAGACGAGATGACACACGATGCCAACATGGGCAACCAGTGCCAGGAAACAAAACATCTCTTACGTGACGCACGAGTAAGACGGATACAGAAAGAAATAGAGAGAAAGAGATGGATAGAGATGGCTTGGATGAGAGATGGGTACAGCGCGTAGAGCAATAGAGAGACGGGTAGAGAAGAGAAAGAGATGGGTAGAGCAGAGCAAAAGCAGATAATGCCTTTTTGAAATTCACCCAAGAGGCACTCAGGTCACGTGTCAGGAAACGAGACTTTTGGCGTGTTTAGCTACACAGGGGGTCACCATGCGTGAGTTGACGAGCACATTTCCACGAGGCTGTGCTGGACACCGACTGAAGCCGTGCACTAAATTTGGGGACATTGCCAGTCACCGTCATCGTGATCATGTGTCAGTCATTGTCAGTCATGGTCAATCCACTGCTGGATGAAGGCCTTACCCAAACCTCCGTCAGTCACCTCTCACGGTCACACGATGTCCACCTCTTAAATAGGTGAATATTTATAAATAAAACAAAATTTTAATACAAAGACAAAGATCCCCCATATAGGCAGAACACGCTGTTAGGGCAAGTGCTGTTAGCAAACACCTATTATGGCCGGCACTGCACACAAGGGGGTGGGTGGCCAGCACGACGTCTGCCCGCCTTTGTCTCCCCAGTGGCGATGTTTACACACTGCACCAGGTACTCATTTGAGGCTGAGTCGACCTAGGGGATGCCCAGGACTGCTACAGATATTCATGAGCAATGTTGGCCATGGGCAGGAATCGATCTGCTCTGACCATTCCACGAATTCTCCCCACACATTTTAACAAAGACAAAGATCCCCCGTATAGCCTGAACAGACTGTTGGGGCAAGTGCTGTTTAGGGAGCACCTATTAAGGCCGGAACGGCACACGAAGAAGTGGATGGTCAACACCACGCCCGGCCGCCTTTGTCTCCCTAGTGGCGATGTTTACACACCGCATCAGGTACTAATTTGAGGCTGAGTCGACCTAGGGGGAGGCCCATGACCGTTTCATATAATCGTCACTGGTGTTGGCCGTGAGCGGGAATCGAAACACATGTTAACACAAACGCACACACGTGCTCGTCAAAAGATAAATTTCTCTCACTGGAGTTTATATAGCTGAATACTGCATAGATAAAAATAATTAAATAACCCATCAACCTTTTATTTTATTTATTTTACTTTGATGACTGCAAACCCTCGGGCAGTCGAGGTGACTCGGGTTATATAATGTACATTTAAAATGTCACCATGATACAATGCCTTACTGTCAAGAGGAAAAAATATGTATGAACGACACCAACTAAAAAAATATAAATCCGCCTCCGGTATAGTTCTGTACACTCCAGTCAGCGGGCCACTTAAGCGGAGACATTCCTGAAGCCCCAGCGAGGGCGAGAGGTGGCAGGGCACCACGGTCGCGAAATGTTAACTACCTCGCCTGCTATGCAGGAGGTCGTGTGTTCGATGCCAACTCTGACGCCTGCGTATTTGCATTCTGCGGTGTCTCTCTCTCCCCATGGTCGCGTCGATTTTTCTCCGGGTCCTCCGGTTTTCCCCCTCTCCACCTTTAGAATCAACGACGTGCTTTTAGAGTATTTGGCCGCATTGAACGTCCTCGTGGTGATGATGAGCCCACTTGGTTGAGCTATCATTTGTGGTAGCCAGTGTCGCTTCTCACAAACAGCTATGCAGCTCAGTCGGGCCTTGTACCTGGTTACAACAACAAGAGTTTATATCATGGGACCTCCTTTGCCAGTACCAAAATATACTAATAGGGTTTTTCCCCTTTTTGTGCGCCTTTTGGCGTCATCTGGTCGAACACCATATGAGACTAGGCTCTAAAGAAAGCTGTCTCTGGTGTGGACCAATCAGTTTCAAAGACAATGCATAATCTTTCAGAGTATTGTTTTTGTTTGCATTTGACTGCAAGTATTGTGGTTAATGTAAGCATGATTCCTTGCAAAAGGTGTCAGTTTTGTTGCCAGAAAAAAGGGGAAAACCCCTATTAGTAACAAGAGTTTAGTTTGTTTTAGGTGGGATGCGGAGAATCGGGCCACCCGTTGCTCGCGTATTAAAGTTCACTTCTCCCTCCGGATTATAAGATGCCCGGTTCAGTTGACGCACCTGAAAGTTTAAACAAAAAAGCACCCCACGTGTCAATAATGTGACAGAAAACTGGTCAAACTCTCACGCAAAACAACAAAAGATCGCCCGTATAGCCTTCACAGACTTCTGGGGTAAAGTGTCGTTTCGCTGGTAGCGCTTCGGAAGGCCGGCACGGCACACGAAGGGGGGGAGGGTGCCCATCAACCAGGCCTTCATCTCCTGAGTGGCGATGTTTTTACAAACCGCGTCGGGTACTCAATTGAGGCTGAGTCGACCGAGGGGAAGCCCAGCACTTGTTCAGATAATCCTCACTTGTTGTTGGTGGCCGCGAGCGCACCTTCCGGGCGACGGGTTTACGGGAGAGAGTGAAAGCGCGTCTTATAATTCGGAGAATTTGAGTCAACTTTAAAGTCACGTCCCATACAACAGCAACTCTGAAGGGTCGGGGTAGGGTACGCGAGACTATGAACATCAAACGAACTTGACACCGATGCCTGGTCGCTACGCAGGAATGAGTGACGGTGCGCGATCGTCCCGTCGCTCAACGGAGCACTCCGCTTTGGCGCTCGCCCACCACGCTGCAAGTGGCACTGCCGACTTGACTCTAAGCCTCTATAATTGGCAGTCTGCTCTCCTTCACTCCATCATCATCATCGCCAAATGATCAAATGGGTCACCTCGAGCTGGGTCAGCGTTCGTTGAGTCATCGGTGATCAAAGAATCACTCGAGAGCTCATGGCGAGAAACTCTGTTTGCCCGCAAACTGCTTTGTCCACATCCGAGCGAGCAGTTGCAGCGAGTTAGACTATTAACTGAACTGCACACTAAACTAGTTTGTATTTGAGCAGGTAAGACCCCCGAAGCTATGTAGCTCTTTTTCAGAAGCGACCTGGCGATCACAAATTATATCTCGACGAAGTGGATTGTCATTGTATGGACATTTATAGCAGTAGATGTTGATTCTAAATGTGGTGGGTAGTCCCCGGAGGGTCCTGGAGAAAAATCCACGTGACCGCAGGAAGAGAGAGAGAGACACGCAAACTCCAAATACACAGCAGCGGGCGCTCAGGGTCGGGATCGAACCCACGACCTCCTGTACACCAGGCGAGGTAGTTAACATCTCCTAGCCACCGTGATGATGATGAGAGAGAGACTCAAACTCCAAATATACAGCAGCAGGCATTAGGGTCTGGATCGAACCCACGACCTCCCGTACACCAGGCGAGGTAGTTAACATCTCCTAGCCACCGTGATGATGATGAGAGAGAGACTCAAACTCCAAATATACAGCAGCAGGCATTAGGGTCTGGATCGAACCCACGACCTCCCGTATACCAGGCGAGGTAGTTAACATCTCCTAGCCACCGTGGCGCCCCACGATGCCTATCGCAGCGAGGTGTAGAACTCGTCGCTTCGAGAAACCCGATCCCGGCGTCTGCTTGCGGAGGACGTCCCGGCGCCTTCAGGGAGATTCAGTTGCGCGCGACTCGGTTGCACGCAACCCGAGTTGCACGCAACCCGGTTTGCGCGTCAAATCGATTGCTCAGGTGTGGGGCCGCGGCGGGTCACGTTGGCGTGGCAGTGCGATAAGAGTGTCGCTACGAGATTCATTTAGAGATTGATAACGACTGCGAAGAATTGAGAAAGATACGGCAATGTACTTTAAGCTTGTAATGTGTGTGTGTCACGGTTCGTTTGAAAGTTGCAGGAGATGTTTATATTCGTTTCGGCAACCGTACGAGGTCACGTGTCTGCCCGACTACCGTTGTATCGATTCGGCAGAGCGCCTGGCCACGTTGTTACCGTATTCTCCCGATCACAAGACGCTCCGGAAAGTAAGACGCACCCACGCAAAAAAAAAACGTTTGCCTCGGTGTCGATAAAGTTATCACACATCACACAAGGACAAAGATCCCCCGTGTAACCTGGACAGACTTTTTGGGCAAGTGCTGTTCGCGAGCACCTATGAAAGCCGGCACGGTACACGAAGAGACAGAGTGACCAGCACCACGCCAGAACCTCTTTGTCTCCGATGTTTACACATCGGGCCAAGTACTCATTTAAGGCCGAGTCGACCTAGGGGGAGGCCCAGGACCGGTTCAGATAATCGTCACTGGTATTGGTGGCCCGTGAGCTGGAATCAAACTCGGGTCGCCGGGTTCGCAGCGCAGCGCGCTAACCGCTACATCCACCGCACCCCAACACACGTACACACAGGCCCGGTGCACTTTGAGGCCACGTGAAGTGTCGAAGGCTCGCTGACGGGAGGTCACGGGACAGAGCCTGCAGGTGCCATGGGTCGACTGTCTGAGATGACTGGCAGATATACACACACACACACACGTTGAAGATGATCATTTTATAAGACTGCACGCCCAAACTTGTTTTGCAAATGTGTCTTATAATCCGGGGAAGGCGGTAACTGCGATGAAACTCTCACGTGAAGGCTGGGTGACGGTTACTGCAATTGCCCCACGTGTGCGCGTGTGTGTGTTTATACACCTAGGGAGCGGTGGTGTAGCGGTTAGCGCGCTGCGCTATGAACCCGGCGACCCGAGTTCGATTCCCGCTCACGGCCAACACCAGTGGCGATTATTTGAACCGGTCCTGGGCCTCCCCTAGGTCTACTAAGCCTCAAATGAGTACCTGGTGCGGTGTGTAAACATCACCACTGGGGAGACAAAGGCGGTCGGGCGTGGTGCTGGCCACCCACCACCTCGTGTACCTTCATAGGTGCTCGCTAACAGCACTTGCCCCTACAGTCTGTTAAGGCTATATGGGGGATCTTTGTCTTTGTTTATATACCTAGGTGCTCGCTAACAGCACTTGCCCCAACAGGCTGGTGAGGCTATACGGTGTGGGGGGGATCTTTGTCTTTCTAGAGACGTCTTTACAAAGAGGATCCGTCTGGAACAATCGGAGACATCGCTGCGCCTTTAGAATAATCAGCAAAATCGATGGCGAGCTCTTGCAGACGCGCACGTGACACGTCTTCTATGAATTATGTCGGTGATTGCTGCTGCTGATGATGCTGCTGGGTTGGCAGTGGTGAAGCATGCACAGTTAACAACAGCAATACGACTCGACAGCTTCGCCGATAATATTAAAAAGACTTTGTGTGTATGTGGCCTTGAAAGAGAAAAAATATTTAATGTGTATGACGTATGGAGCAATGGTCCTTTTTCATAGTACATACAATACATATAGTACGTCCTATAAAGAAGACTCATTGTCCGAAACGTCGCATATATTATATATTACCTTTTTCCTGTTAGGACCACACAGTGATAAATTATTGACGAAAGTGTTGATATTTGTTGTTGATTACATGCGTTTGACACAATAACAGGGAAGCATCGAGGCATTAATTTCTCATTAAGTATTAACCGTGGGGGAGTGGAGAGGTGGGGTGGGGTTGGGTTGGCTGCTCATCACCCACACACAAATATCCTCCCTCTCCCCCGGCAGCCCAGCCAATGGGTGGCGTGGCAATATTTTCAGGAGCTCAGCCCTGGACGGACATGAAATCCCAGGTTAGGAATCCACGTTCATTTTCCTTGAAAGTTTTTGTAAAGTTCGGTACGGGAGTTGTCTATTTGCATCAATTGCGAGTAGTGGCTGGTTGGGGAGATGGAACACAGGGGCATTTATATATATAAGATAATCATAATAAGAAGAAATCTAATAAGAACCCCAATTGTCGAGTATGTAAATGTGGCGACTTGCATAAATGTAATTAAGATATCGGGAGGAGATAACAGTTCAGCTGCTGCTGGTGACGTTTGCTTGAGGGTTGAGTATGCCATCGCTGCTCTAATTGTACACCCGATCATTGTTAATGGAAATGCAACGCAGAGGCGCGAATTGATTCTGCACGTACAGGGTGCTTCAAAAAAATGTGAACACTCGGGATGAATTTGCAACAACAACTACACCACCATAAACGCGCCGCCTCCGTGCTATGGAGACCACCTGGAGATGAATCCAGGGCACGAGTTGACGATGAGGGCGAGCGAGTGGAGACTCTGTGGCTTTTTGAAGCTATTAACATCACATTTGTAATCATGTTACAGTGTAGTATTATCCGTTATTTTTCCCATTGAAAACGATAGTCCCATAAAAGTGTTTTTAAAAAAAATTCGAAGCGCCCTGTATATATACGGTATAGGATATGCTATGCGGTGTATGTGTGTGTATATATACAGTACGTAACTATACATAGCCCCCACCCTGTATGTATATGCACAAGCGCGCGTGCGTGTCGTGCGTGCGTGTCGTGCGTGTGCCGTATTACCCAGGTGATGAGTCGCTCCGGAGAACAAGACAGCTTTACGCACACACACACAAGACACACACACATACACAACACACACACACTACATTACAACACACACAACACACACACTACATTGCAACACACACACAACACACACACTACATTACAACACACACACAACACACACACACACTACATTGCAACACACACACAACACACACACTACATTACAACACACACAACACACACACACATTACATTACATTACAACACACACACTAGATCACAAGACACAAACACAAGACACACACACAAAACACACAATGACACACACTACATTACAACACACATACTAGATCACAAGCCACACACACACACTATATTACAACACACACACACACTACATTACAACACACACACACTACATTACAACACACACACTCTCGCTTACAAGACACACACACACACAAGACACACACACTACATTACAACACACACTACATTACAACACACACAAAACATTACAACACACACACACACTACATTACAACATACACACACTACATCACAACACACACACACTACATTACAACACACACACACTACATTACGACACACACACTACATTACAACACGCACACACTACATGACAACACACACACACTACATTACAACACACACACTACATTACAACACACACACTACATTACCACACACACACACTACATTACGACACACACACTACATTACAACACACACACTACATTACAACACACACACTACATTACCACACACACACACTACATTACAACACACACACACTACATTACAACACACACACAAGGAGTGAGGGAGGTGGGTAGGGTTTGGGGAGCGGGTGCATCTTATAACAAGAAGAATACGGTCGGCACGCACACACACACACACACGTGTGCACACATCACGTGCGCACATCACGTGGTGTGTGAAACCAAAAGCTGTGTTGCTTCTTCGCTCGGCTGATAAGTTGCACGGCATTTCAGTTGAAACTTCGGGGGCCAAACGTCGAGCAACCGAGACCACGCAACTTAATCGCCTGCAACTGCTTTGTCCACTGTCCACGCCCGTGGTTGCGAGCAATTGCGCATGAAGCCGATTCGCTGAGTCTCGGATCGCTGCCGAGATGATCGTGGTTGCGCAACCGCTCGCAACTCGGCTTGCAATTCAATAGTTGCACGCAACTGATCGCTCGGATGTGGCGCCCCCATCTCCCCCCCCCCCCTTCCCCCCTTCTTGTATGTACGATGTTGAACTTCTTTCGCACCGTACGTTTTAAAGCGATGGATGCAGAGCATTCATTTTAGGACCAAAATAGCCATGAAAATGTGACACACGCAAGAGACGAGTTGCTCTTATAGTTACATAAAAAAAAAGAAATGAAGGGTTTTTTTGAAGCCAAACGCGACGATGTTGTATTTTTTTGGTTTCGAGAGATGAATCTTATCTCGTGTGTTTTTTTGTACAACTCTGTTGTGATACCTGTTGAATGTGCCGCCCGTTGCTACTCGTCGTTTTTAATGGGTCACGCTTTGCGATGATTTTGTTTAATTTTTCGATGTAAAGCTTTCGTGACTGCAGGGATTCATCTTCTTGCTTATTTCGGTAAAGTCACGGAGAAGGGAAATAATAAAATAAAAAAATCAAACATAATAAAATACAATTTCTCACGACGTTTCGGCCACAACGCAAGCAGCCGTCCTCAGGTGGAGACCAGGTCTGTCGGAAAGACAGCGTCTGAATGAACACCACCAAGCTTGGCAGCGTATATTTAAGCTGGGTTAGAGAGGGAAGGGCGCCTTGACAAATATACGCTGCCAAGCCTGGTGGTGTTCATTCAGACGCTGTCTTTCCGACAGACCTGTTATTCACCTGAGGACGGCTGCTTGCGTTGTGACCGAAACGTCGTGAGAATTGTATTTTATTATGTTTTATTTTTATTATTTTATTATTTCCCTTCTATGTGACTTTACCGAAAGAACCAAGAAGATTTTGTTTAAGTTGCAGGCGTTCTGTATGTTTTTTTTACGTTCGATTGGGTGTTTTTTTTTTCTTTTATTCAACTTAATACGTTTAGCGTGAAAGAACATATGTTTGTGTGCACATGAGAGATAACGTGGACACTTTGGTCGGAAAGTTCTCGAGTTTTCTTGTTCGGATGATGGCTCTGGGTCTCTCCCTCTCTCTGTCTCTATCCACCACCAACAAACCAAATCTAACCTTGGGGTCAAACAACGACATTATTTTTATTGTATCGCTTTCATACAAACACACACAATTCCGTGAACACAAAAATTTTAAGCGGATGCCAAATTATTCAAATGTAAGTGCATCATCGTAACGTAAAGCTGAAGGCGCAGCCCTGCAATTACTTTGCTCAAGCCACTGCTGCCGGAAGAACCTCCACCAACCCCCCGTGTTCGCACAGCAGTAGAAACGCATCCCACCTCAGTTCAGTCGAACTGCAGGTCTCGTGCGGTGTGGTGAAGTGTGGGCACTCCCCAACTCTTCTTCCAAGACGTCTGACCAATAGGGAAGAAGAGGCCAAATACAATAAAAATAATAATAGGAACAATGCCAACCTTGTAACGCTGCGCGCCGCGGTGAGGGGCCAGCTCAACCAACAACTGGCCAAGCTCTGCAGTTACCCTGTATATTAAGATGTTCGCAGCCAAATCAATGGATTGCGTTTAACGTGTGGCTGGAAAACCTGGAAAGGGCCTTTCTCT